ATCAAAAATTGGCCAAAATCAAGTAATTTGAAGTAATTTTAGCTAATATCAGCTAAACTTTAGCTACAATTGCAGCAAATATTGCAGAATGCAACTGTAGGAAGCACAAATAGAACAAATTAGCAGAAAAAAGTATAACAAAGCAGAAAAAAGCAGAAGAATTCAGAAAGAAGCAGAACTGTAGCTGAAATTGCAGAAAACAGCTAAAATTTAGCAAAATTTGTATAAAATAGCTGAATATAGCAGAAAGCAACTGTAAGAAGCATAAATAGAACAAATTAGCAGAAAAAAGCAGAAAAACTGTGGAAAAAAGCAGAATAGCAAAAAGAAGCAGAACTATAGCTGAAATAGCAGAAAACAGCTAAAGTTAGCAAATTTGTAGAAAATAGCTGAATATAGCAGAAAGCAACTGTAAGCATAAATAGTAAAAAGTAGCAGAAAAAAGCAGAAGAATAGCAAAAAGAAGCAGAACTATATTTGAAATAGCAGAAAACAGCTAAAGTTAGCAAAAAAGTAGTTAGCAAATAGCTGAATATAGAAGAAAGCAACAGTAAGAAGCATAAATAGCACAAATTAGCAGAAAAAGTAAAACAAAGCAGAAAATAGCATAACAATAGCAGAAATAAGCAGAACCATAGCTGAAATAGCAGAAAAGAGCTAAAAATTAGCTAAATTTGTAGAAAATAGCTGAATATAGCAGAAAGCAACTGTAAGAAGCATAAATAGCACAAAATAGCAGAAAAAAGCAGAAGAATAGCAAAAAGTAGCAGAACTATAGCTGAAATAGCAGAAAACAGCTAAAGTTAGCAAAAAAGTAGCTAAAATTAGCTCAAGGAATTTAAGGAAGCATAACCAAAGCAAAATATGTGAAAAGCAGTGAAGATTTATAAACAATACGTGCCTTAACGGCATAAAGAGAAATAAATAAACAATAGGTTGAATGCCTGTTACATTTAAATGGATTGTTCTCTATTGTCCTTTTATAGATTTATCTGTCTTTTAAAAAAGAATAATAAAAACACTTACTGGATGATATTTGGGAGGATTGTCGTTGGTGGTTGTGCAAAAAACAATAGCAGCCAGAAACAGGCCCAGCAGTAGAATGAGCAGCCAGAGAGGAAACTGATCCTGGANGCTGCAGAAGAAGCTGAAATTGAGCTGAATTAGTAAAAGAATTATTATAATTAAAATTTGAAAAGCTGAAAAAAGCAAAAAAATGCAGAAAAACAGCAAAAAGGACCAAACTATAGCTGAATTACCATAAAAAGCTAAAAGCTAAAGGCTAAAATAGCTGAATATTGCAGAAAGCAACTCTAAAAAGCATAAATAACTCAAATTTGCAGAAAGAAGCACAAAGAGGCAAAAATGCAGAAAAGGCATAAAAATAGCAAAAAGAAGCAGAAATATAGCTGAATTAGCATAAAAAAGCTAAAATCTAAAGGCTAAAATATCTGAATAATACATAAAGCAACTGTAAAAAACAAAGAACTATAATTAGTAGAAAGAAGCATGAAAAAGTAAAAAATAAGCAGAAAAAGCAGAGAAATAGCAAAAGGAAGCAGAACTATAGCTGAAATAGCATAAAAAGCTAAATGCTAAAATAGCTGAATATAGCAGAAAGCAAATGTAAGAATCATAAATAAGTCCAATTAGCAGAAAGAAGCACAAAAAAGTAAAAAAGCAGAAGAATATTAGAAGGAAGAAGAATTTTAACTGAAATGACTGAAAAAGCTAAAACTAGCAAGACAGTAGCTAAAATTGTCAAAAGGAATTTAATAACAGCAAAACCAGAATATAATGTGTTAGGTTCTGTAAAGATTTAGAAATATTATGAAGAAATTGAAAGATGTTGAATAAAGCTCCATTCATTTCCAATGGGAAAAATTAGCTGAAATAGCTGTGGTCACAAATGTTGAAGTTTCTTGATGCTTCAATATGTTATAGAGCATGCTCTCAGCTACCAGTACATAAGTTTACATGTCAATATCTCAAACAGTGGCTGAGTAAAAGGCCTTTAAAAACAGCTTTGGCGGCCATCCTGGATTTTTATTTCGGCTGCAATTTATGATAGAGCTAAGTCACAGCTACCAATATATTCATTTTTAGCTCAATACATCAAAAATTGGCCAAAATCAAGTAATTTGAAGTAATTTTAGCTAATAACAGCTAAACTTTAGCTACAATTGCAGCAAATAGCTGAATATTGCAGAAAGCAACTGTAGGAAGCACAAATTGAACAAATTAGCAGAAAAAAGTATAACAAAGCAGAAAAGGCAGAAGAATAGCAGAAAGAAGCAGAACTATAGCTGAAATAGCAGAAAACAGCTAAAATTTAGCTAAATTTGTAGAAAATAGCTGAATATAGCAGAAAGCAACTGTAAGAAGCATAAATAGTACAAAGTAGCAGAAAAAAGCACAAGAATAGCAAAAAGAAGCAGAACTATAGTTGAAATAGCAGAAAACAGCTAAAGTTAGCAAAAAAGTAGTTAGCAAATAGCTGAATATAGAAGAAAGCAACTGTAAGAAGCATAAATAGCACAAATTAGCAGAAAAAGTATAACAAAGCAGAAAAAAGCAGAAGAATAGCAGAAAGCAGCAGAACTATAGCTGAAATAGCAGAAAACAGCTAAAATTTAGCTAAATTTGTAGAAAATAGCTGAATATAGCAGAAAGCAACTGTAAGAAACATAAATAGTACAAAGTAGCAGAAAAAAGCGCAAATAAAGCAGAAAAAGGCAGAAGAATAGCAAAAAGAAGCAGAACTACAGTTGAAATAGCAGAAAACAGCTAAAATTTAGCTGAATTTGTAGAAAATAGCTGAATATAGCAGAAAGCAACTGTAAGAAGCATAAATAGCACAAATTAGCAGAAAAAAGTATAAAATAGCAGAAAAAAGCAGAAGAATAGCAAAAGGTAGCAGAACCATAGCTGAAATAGCAGAAAACAGCTAAAGTTAGCAAAAAGGTGGCTAAAATTAGCACAAGGAATTTAAAGGAAGCATAACCAAAGCAAAATATGTGAAAAGCAGTGAAGATTTATAAACAATATGTGCCTTAACAGGCATTCACCCAGTTAAATGGATTGTTCTCTACTGTTCTTTTATAGATTTATCTGTCTTTTAAAAAAGAATTAATTAAAAAAACTTACTGGATGATATTTGGGAGGGTTGTCGTTGGTGGTTGTGCAAAAAACAATAGCAGCCAGAAACAGGCCCAGCAGCAGAATCAGCAGCCAGAGAGGAAACTGATCCTGGATCATTTTATTTGCATCTAAAAACACAAACATCAGGAGGCAAAAAGAACTCAGTAATTAGACCACATATTTCTTCTTCTTCTATCTACAACATGTTTTTTTGTTTTTGTTTTCATGTTCGACGATGCTCACATTCTCCAGACTGGAAGACGAGCAGACACGCCAGAGGAGCAGTGATCAGGTGGAGGGAGTTTAACGGGCGTCTCCAGTTTTTGTCTTCTTTGTCGGGGTCCACCACAGGGACACAGAGCAGCAGCAGCACCTCCAGAGGAGCCTGGTAGAAAAACCATGCCTTAAACATTTTCATTTTAAACACGCTGCCCTACCGACCAGGCTWTTTGCACACCTTCATAACTTTAAAGACTTTCCAGCTCCTTGAGTTCCTCCTCCACTTCCTGTTGTCCACCGGATTCAAGGAGCTCAACAGGATCTGACTCGTGGATGCGGTGTAGGGCAGGAGTGGCCGGTACTCTGTTAGCAACAAACACGCGTGGTCCTGATTCTGCACAATACATGAGCTCAAGCAGTGCTCTGTGTAACTGTGAATTCCCACCGTATTCCTGCTGGACTGAAGTGCCTGTCCAGGAGGAAGAGTCATCGTCWTCAGAGTCGTCGTCAGATGAATTCAAGTCTGCTTTAAAGAGAAAATACCCATAAATAACCCTGGAAGCTAGACAGCTTTCAGTTTATGTGAGGATCTCAGTATGAAAGTTTAACCTGGAGTATGTGGAACACTTGAAGAGTCTGAATTCCCAGAGTTCTTTTGTCGATTGTAGATGTAAGCACTGATGATAACGGTCACAACATAAATCCCGTATAGAGCCACGTAACCTGCAGAAATTAAATCAATCAGTTCRACCTCAGAATAAAATAATAAATATCAACAGTGCCGTTTATTATGCAGAGACAATTATAGGAATGCAAATGCAGGAGTRCAAATTAATTTTATTCATTTTGGTCATTTTTGGACATATTCATCATTTGTTTTTCTTTGTACAGCCTATTATCATTTAATCACACAATAAGCTGGTAGTGTTTTTAGGTAGAACACACACCTGCTGCTGCACAATCATTTGTATTGTTACTATTCATTGTAATTACTCAATCATTTGCACTACAACTCTGCTGTAATTGCACATCTGTGTTTCTGGTCTGCATTGTGATACTTCACTTTACAGTTMTTGATCTGTTGAGATCGTTTTGCACTGAAAACAGGCTCTCTCTGATTCCTAATGTCGGATTCTGAAACAAAACATCGTTTGTATTCTTGCACAATTCTTTGTATTATATTTTTAATATTAGTAGTTGTATCATGGCTAGTCAGTGTTAATTTTGTTTTGTGTGTACTATCTAGAGTTGGAAATGTAACTAGTGTGTAAACCCTTGCACTGATGTTGCTGTGACACCTGAATTTCCCCTCTGCAGGACAATAAAGGCTATTTCTATTCTATTCTATTCTATTCTATAAAACAAGTCAAGAATACTTTTTAAAAAATGTTCTCACTAGCACTGTTTCTTTCTCATCACAATCTTTCACCACTTTGAATTTATTAAAAATAAATTTTATTCAAATTCTTAGCATTTCTTTAATTGATACCAGTAAATATTGTCATTTAGAAGTGACATCTATCGATTTTGTTGCATTTTGTGTCTAGAAACATGTGAACTTATTCTCCAAAAACCTTGTTTGGTTGTTGGTGTCTGAGAGGAAATCTTTAGTAGTTTGACACATTTGACCTCCAGAGGAGAAACTTGTGGCTGGGTGACTCTTTGAGCTGTGCTCTTGTGTTTGTTTAAGACAGAAAATACTTGACATTCCAGTCTGGGACAAGTGAAGCTGAAGAACAAGAAAGATTAAAGCCTTCAATAATCTCACAACTCTTCACTTTCAACAAAAACTTAAGCGATAAAGATATAGTTCATTTCTTTTAATAATCTGTTTCTGTGCTTTAGTTTGTGTAAAACATTTAAACATCGATATCGAAACGATCACATTTTGATTGTTAATGTAGCYGTTTGATCGTCCTGACTTGTTTTGCAGCTTTCCACTAAATGTAATAGAATCTTTAAATAGTCTGATAACTGGATTACAACAAACAAATCGAGGCAATAAACTGCTGACAGTGCAAACTGTGGTTTCTGTCAAATCTGCATAAAGTTCGATTGAACCAGGACARATTTTAGCTGCAGAAGTTCTTGGTCAGCAAAAGAGCGATCTCCAATAAAAGCAAACTCAAAACCCTCCTGAGTGTTTGTGTGTACCCAGGATTTCTGCCACCGTCGTCGTCCCTCTGAAGAGCATCAGGAAAGTCCAGAACACCGCCGACATGTAGAAGACGACGTCCCGCAGGAACGGACGGGACGCCACAGTGAACGGTTTGACCAGAGCCACGCCCCCTGCCACGACCGTGGTGACGAATATGCCAGCCCCTGCGGGGACACGTTTTATTCAGGTCATTTAGTTACTTTTTGCAGGTGCGTGAGAACGAAGGAGAGTCTCTCTGCGTACCAAACAAGGCCCCGACAGCCAGGCCAGCCGTGTGCGGACGGGAGAACGCCGCCATGGCGCTGAAGATGTCAGGAGCGCCGTTCCCCAGAGCGAGAAAGGTCACGCCCTCAGCGCGGACAGCAGTTAGGGACAAACACTCACGCAGCAAAAGAACATCTGATTTAACAGCTCTGATAAGAGGCAAAGGGTCAGAGAAAGGATACGGCCACGTTGTGGGTGAGGTGCAGACTGGAAGATATGGCTGACAGGTTGGGACAAAAACTGTGGGGGAGAAACAAAAACAAAATGTACTTCAGATTGTGCACCAAAATATTACAACTTGCAGAAACTTCTCTACTTTCTGTTAAAGTGGTGAAATCTAGAGATAAGTGACAATTAGTGGGTAAAAAAAGGCAGAAGTAACTGTGCTTCCTTTGAAAAATCTCAACAGAATAACTTTCTTCGATCATGTGACTCGTCTTCATGTGACTGTTAAGCTGACGATACTGAGAGCTCGATGTGTGTGTGTGTGTGTGTGTGTGTGTGTGTGTGTGTGTGTGTGTGTGTGTGTGT